GACTTAGGTGAAAAAAAATCTCAAAACACATTTTTGGTGTTTTAAGAAAAGCGTTTATGTTTTGGGTTTTGTAAAGGGTCACGTCAAAAAACACGACGTTCACCAAACACATTTCATTGTTTAAAAAAAAAACAGAAACAACAAAAACGTCCCGGTCCCAAATGCTCCCTTATTAGTTATTTGTTTTATGATCTTTGCGTTTTCTCTTGTCCCTTTTTTTTGACCTCTTTTTCCCTTATCTTTACGTAAAATATGTCGCTCTTTTTAATATAAATTGAGAAAATATGATGGAATGACTTAGTTTTGTTAAAACACTATTGCCTTCATGATCGTATATTCAGAAAGTATTGTGCATTAAGAGTCATGTTTGCTATATCCACTCCCAAACAGTAACTTTAAGAGTTGGATTGCCGAAAATGCCCTTTTGGACTTGGTTTGGTTTGGTTTGGGAGAAGGGCGATTTAGTCCTCACACACCCCCAAAGTTACTGTTTGGGAGTGTGAATAGTTAGACCCGAAAGTAGCGGAATAGATATAAGAAAACCCGGGTTTTCTATAGAGTGCCCATGGACACTCTATAAGGGAGGAGAGATATAGAGAGAAATGAATGAGGAGGGGATCCCAATACAAATTAGGGCCCCCCCTATTCATTCATTTCTCTCTATCTCTCTCCTCTCTAATAGAGTACCAATGAGCATTCTATAGAAAAACCAAAGAAAATTTAATATGTACGATGTGATTAAAATTTATTCAATACTTAATGTAAAGGGGGTTGTCGGCATATATGTTAACGTTGAAATATAAACCCTCAATAAATTTGGGTTTTGGTTCTTAGCCTTCAGAAATTTCGATAATGATTTTCAACATTCTTAATTGTAGAGAACTTCTACAATTGCTTACATGGATAAATAGTGTTGGCTCATTCAATAGGTCTCATAATTAAATGAACTTTTTATAGAATTTATATAACGAATATTATTCATGGGGTCTACTGAGCGAAAAGATATGATATGTGAATTGTAGATGTTCTCTATATTTAAGGATGTAGAGAATCTCTAAAATTTGAAGCTCTCAAACCTCACTTTGGAAATTTCAAAATACTCCCTAGAAATTTTGATTTGTTTTACTTAACCACCACTGACTATGTCAAGATGTTTATATTATATTCTTTTCTTGCAAACTCAAAATATGAGTTGACGACATTAAGGAAGACAAAAATAAAATGTTTTGAGGGTTTTATGAAATTGGCAAAGGTACCAGGATTAGTAAGAGTTTTAAATTTTTTAGGTGTTAAGTGCCAAACAATCAAACTTATTAGGGGTTTAGTGAAATTTACCCATACTTTAATTGAATGCTGGCAGTAATTTAAATATGTGAACAATATCTGTATTTGCATTTGAATTTGCATTTGTATCCCTAAACATAAGAACACAATGAGAAAATTAAATATATAAAGTCATTATTTACTGCATATCTGCACCCATTTAAATATCCATTCAAATTAATTACCTTGTCGTATTTTACTATGGCCATGGGTTTTCACTTTTAATTTGTAGTTTCTTTCCGTTTTGTTTTGTAATGTTGAATGAAAAAGGTTGGCATATTCCATTTTCCTTTAAAAATAATAAATAATATAAAATTAAGTTTAACATATGAATCTGCCCTTTTGCAAGAAATTTAGGGAAATTATAATATTGACCAGCAAATATACCAAACAAGACGTATCCCTGATTTTGCTGGGAGTTTAGTGCATGGATTATTATTATCCTCTCAAACATAGAAAGCATCCTCAAAGCTGTTATGAACCTGATCACCAATGTCGCGCACCTATGTGGAAGCGTGCACGCACACACCGAACGAGTCTGAGATCACTGAGAAGAAGAGAACCACACACAAGCACAATCCAATCCAAATACGACAAATCCAAACCAAACACAGATATATACGTGGTTCGGTAATTTGCCTACGTCCACGGTGAGAGGATGGGGAGATTCTACTAAATCAAGGAGAGTACAAAAGGGTTACCATCACACAAGATCACTTCAACTAACCCTCAACCAAAACTCTCAACTTGCTCACAATATCTCCCTCTCACAATGCTCAAATCTCTTATATATCTTCTATATTAAACCCTAGAAAATCGTGTCCCCTATATATATATATATATATATCCAAACAGAAACTCAAACGAACCAGGAAACCGTTGATGAGTCGACTCATGACAGGCATGAGTCGACTCATGCCAAGTGAGTCGACTCGTCAGATACTTCATACAAAACGGCTGAGTTCAGTGAGTCGACTCATGACAGGCATGAGTCGACTCAACCTGATGAGTCGACTCATGTGCATGTATGAGTCGACTCATGGGTTGAAAAACGAGAAAAACTAATTTTTTCTGATTTTCCCCACAATTCTCCACCTTGGCGAAATTTTGCCAAAACTGAGCCGACACCAAATAAAGAGCACTAATGCGTCGTCTCTCCAAACACGGGTGCACCAACATGGTTGCCTACGTACCCCCTCTCCCAAGGGATCAAGCCGCCCGTTGTTCATCCCAATGGCCGCCAACGGCCTTAACAATCACGAATGTGCAACAAGTTTTGACAATGATCAAACTTGTTGCTCGGAACCACCTTAGTGAGCATCGAATGTGCAACAAGTTTTGACAATGATCAAACTTGTTGCTCGGAACCACCTTAGTGAGCATATCCGTCAGATTATCCTTCGTGTGGACTGTTGCTCGGAACCACCTTAGTGAGCATATCCGTCAGATTATCCTTCGTGTGGACTTTCACAATCTCCATTATCACCATCTTCAAGAACATCCCGAACGAAATGATAACGAACATCAATGTGCTTCGTCCTTGCATGAAAAACCTGATTCTTCACCAAAGATAGCACTCATGCTATGTCAATGAATGGTGACGGACCGTTGCGATATACCAAGTTCCTCCAAAAGTCCCCGAAGTCAAATAGCCTCCTTCACAACCTCCGTAATCGCCATATACTCTACCTCCGTCATAGACAAAGCCACCGTCGACTGTAAGGTGCATCTCCAACACACCGGCGTACGGGTCAAAGTGAACACATACCCGTCGTAGACCGACGCTTATCTAAATCACTGGCATAATCCGAATCAACATAGCCAATGCATAGCTGCCCACCTATAGTGTCCTGCTCATAAACCAAACCAACATTGAGCGTACCTCTAATGTACCTTAAAATCCATCTCACAGCATCCCAATGACCTACTACTGGATCGTGCATGTATCTCGAAACCATGCTCACCGCCTGTGACAAATCCAACCTCGTACATACCATCGCGTACATCAAACTCCCAACCATGCTCGCATATGGAGTTTTCGACATCAACTGACTACGGTGAAAGACCAGCTAAAAACTTCAAATGTGCTCCCAATGGTATACTAACTGGTTTCGTATCCATGCAAATATAAAATCGCTGTAAAACCTTCTTCAAATAAGCCATTTGTGTCAAACAAATTCTGCCCTTCTTCTTGTCTCTGCTAATCTCCATCCCTAAAATGCGCTTCTCCTCGCCCAAGTCCTTTATCTCAAACTCATTTGAAAGCTAAACTTTCAACTCATCTATAGCCGACCTGGAAATAGAGGCAACCAACATGTCATCGACATAAAACAACAAATAAATGTACGCACCTCTTTTCAACTTGTGAAAATACACGTAAGGATCAAACTGGCTTCGAGTGTATGAATGACCAAGTATAAAACCATCAAACCACCTATACCACTGTTGAGGAGACTGCTTCAATCTGTATAGCGATTTCTTTAACATGCACATCAACTTATCTTTCCCTGCAGCTCAGAATCCCAATGACTGAGTCATATATATTTCTTCATCAAGATCACCATGAAGAAATATAGTCTTCACATCCAACTGATCTAACTCTAATCCATACTGTGCCACCAAAGCTAGTAAAATCCGAATAGAAGAGTGTTTCACCACCGGAGAGAAAACCTCATTATACTCAATACCTTCCTCCTATGCATAGCCCTTCACAACCAACCTAGCTTTGAACCTCAATGGAGTGCCCTTAATGCCCTCCTTCTTCGTGTATACCCACTTGCAACCAATCACCTTCCGCTCCTTTGGAAGTTCAACAAGCTCCCATGTATCGCTCTTATGAAGAGACTTCATCTCCTCCTGCATAGCTACCTGCTACGAATCAGCCTTTGAACTCTGCTCGACCTCTCTGAAAGTAGTAGATATTATCTCATCGATACTCTCCACCGGAAGTGCATACGCAACTGTGTCGGCATATTTTGCTAACACCCGTATGTCTCTCCTCTATCTCCGAACCGCAATAGAATCCTGAACCTGAGCTGTCGGTCCCTGATCCTGCACATCAGTACCCGTATCCTCCATATCATCATTGTGCTCTGTTCGATGGAAAATTTGTAGTAAAAAGGAAAATTAAAAGAAAT